GTGAAAACTACTCAGAGCAAAACCAAACCTTAAGTGAAGAGGGAGAACAAAATAATGAAAACCTCATTAGATTTTGTAGATATTACAGGACTTTGGGGTACATACAGTTCACATTAGTAGCTAAATGGTAGCTTTACAAAAATTCTCATTATAGCTCTCCTTCATTGGTTTTGAAAAGTGCCCTTTAGGAACCCAAATAGGCCAGGGCATGATGACACATACCTATAGTCCCAGCATTTGAGCTATGTAGAGAGACCATGTCTCAAAAAAAAACAAAAAGGTAACCCAAATAGATGTTGAAGAGCACTTTTAAATAGTCATGGTGAGGTTTGCCAGTCACAAACAAAACAGGCTTGAGAGGAGACTCAGTCAGTAAAGTGCTTGCCCTGGAAGGATGAGGGCATGAGCTTGTAAAAAGGACATGAGCATGTAAAAAAAAAAAAAGGTTAGCTACAGTACTGGGGAGGCAGAGACAGGGCTGCTGGGACTTGTGGGCCAGTCCTGCTGAATTGTAAACTTCAGATTTGATAACACTGTCTCAAAATGTAAGGTGGAAATCAGTTACCCTAAGGTGGTCTTCAACTCACTATCTAGCTGAGGATGACCTTGAACTTCTTATTCCTCCTGCATCTACAAGCTGGGTGCTTGGGATTAGTGTTGGTTACCAAAGCACATTTATGTGGTGCTGGGAATCAAATCAGGGTGTTCTATTCTGGGCAAGCTCTGTACCAACTCAACCCCTATCCTGCTCTATTGGTTTGACTATGGTAAAATTCACCATATCCATTCAAAAGTAATCTTCAGCATTTATACTTGAAAGACTGTGAACATTTTCATCACTCAGACCTTTTTTTTTTTTTTCTTGTTTTTTGATTTGTTGTTTTTCGAGACAGGGTTTCTCTGTGTTGTTTGGAGCCTATCCTGGCACTCGCTCTGGAGCCCAGGCGGGCCTCGAACTCAGAGATCCACCTGCCTCTGCCTCCCGAGTGCTGGAATTAAATGCATGTGCCACCAACCCCGGCCAGACCTTCAATTTTATTCAGGGTAGCAATGCTGAAGCTTTCATTTTTCAACTTCTATTGCAGCTAAATAAAGTTTTGCAAATATGTTCTAGTAACTGTAAGCACAAACAAAAGGAATTCTCCAGAAATGCCTTAGAGGGAAACAGGCATCCCTTTTCCTTTACTGTTTCTTTTGCTGGCTTTAATCAGAGGTGATGGTGGGACTCTGGCAACCACTATGGACTATGAAGTACATTTTATGAGGCTGAGGCTAGTGGTGCAGTCAGATGAGAACTTAGGTCCCAAATAATAAATGAATTCAGCTCTATGCTGCTTCTGGAAAAGAAATCACCTGTTCAAGCCATTCATGCATAGAGCAGAAGCCGTTATATAGGTATGGTTTTAAGTGACAAGGAAAAATGTTTAATAATATAAACATTTCTGACAATTTTGAGTTCCAATATATATGAGAAAATAATGAACTGTATTTACCCACACAATTCTGACAAGTAGAGCTGAGTGAAACTTTACTTATAGGATCCACACTCCATGGGCGTTCTCACCACACTGACCTCCCCAAAACAATTCAGTGTACTCCCCACTGCAGACAGAAGAAAGCTCCGACAGGCATGTTCTGAAGGCTACATCAGCACAGACTTAGTCTAGGATTTACCTTTAGTGCCAAATGCTAGAAGGTACCCCTCAGATGCCATTGTAGACACAATGCCATTCCCTTCATCCGTGCTCTCAGCATGAGCAGTCATGCCCCACCCAGCCCTGACGATCCACTTTCTATCCAGCAGTAGTCGAGAGGCCAGGAGATGTGTCGTACTCCATGCCACTTAATCTGAATCTTAAATAAAGCTACACTCTGTGCCATAACTAGGACCATCCACTTTGTGAAACAGTAAAGGATCAGATTATATCACTATGGCTTTGATGTGACTTTACTCAAGCTCTGTCAGCCCTAAAAGTCATCTATGAAGACAGATGACTCTACTTCAACACCCACTGTGTTCTTTCTATGCTCTGCATCTACTGCTTTATCTGGTCTCAACAATCCTTTGTGGCTAACATCTTAGCAATGTCCTACAGGTGACAAACTTGGGGCACAGCTTATTTAAAGTTGTCTGAGGTTGGATGGCTAACCAGGGGTAGAAGGACCCAGCATGTGGTGGTCCACTTGCAGACTCATCACTCATGGATCACACAGGGTGGTGCCTACAAGAGGTTCAGCAGTTACTGGCACACAGTGAACACTCAGCAATCTCCAACAAAATACATATCTGAAATAATGTAGCTTTACAGCTACACCTGGTGATAAAACATACATATACACATGAAAACAAACACATTTTATGTAACAATGTAACTTTTTGTTACCAGATTTTTATCAAAAAAAAATGAGGTTCAAGTTTTCCCTTTGTGCCGAGTTATGAAGCACCAGTGAACCGAGTGATACTTTCATGAGGAAATGCAGTAATCAAGTACTTCTTGATTGCGTCAGAACTTCATCACTTGATCACTTCAGAAAACATTGTGCCAGTAGCATTCCTGCTTTATTTTACATATGAGGGTTTATGAAATTGTAGAATATACCTGTTATTTATTTATTCACACATAAACCACAAACCAATGAATGAAACATTGGCCTGCCTCACCATCAAAAGGCATGTACTGAGCGTCTGATCTGATGTCAGATTTCTAGTTAAAGCAGCTCTTCCCAGGAGCTTCCCTACTTGGGGAACAATCAAGTGTAGTTAAATTACACACATAATCCATATATATATGTTACATAAGGTACATTATATGACAGGTAGATTTCTGGCATCTTACAAAACTCCATGTATGACTCCCCATTTACCAAAAGCAACAGATCTACCTCAGCATAACAAACTAAAACAACAACAAAAAAGCATCAAATGAAATCTTTAAATTTTTTTATAATTTATTTTTTATGTGTGCTTGTGTTTTGCCTGCATGTGTATCTGTGTGAGGATGACAGATCCCCTGAAACTGGAGTTATAAACAGTAACTTCAGTTACTGTCTCGTGGGTGCTGGGATCTCTGGAAGAGCAGTCAGCACTTTTAACCTCTTGAGCCATCTCTCCAGCCCCTCAAATGAAATCTTAACAAAAATGCTGCAACTAAATTCAAAGTGATTCTCTATAAAACTTCTTTTGTCTATGTGGACAGGCTGAAGAGGATCTCAGTAGAGAGTCCAGGCTATACAACTTGCAGCTATCTTGGGTTTTCTGAGTACCCTGATCGAAGCCATGTGCCATAACACCCAGATATTATCCATCATATCCGAATGAAACATTTTACCTTCAATCACACAAACACTTTACCTATATAATATCAAATTATCTGATACAAAATGTTACTTTCATCAAAGTACTGATTTTCATACCAATGCTTGAATGTTACATATTCTGCCTACAATGCAAATTATGTGAAACTGGTAATATTTTAAGCCAGCAATCTTTAGTCTAAAAGAAAAAAAGGAGAAACCAGCCTGACTATAGATATGCTACCATTCCACAAAACACTGCTAGAACACCTACCAGGAAACCTTATACCTAGTCTTCAATCTCAGCACCCCAAAAACAGTTTGAAAGGTTAAAATTCATTTTAGGCATTTTACACCAGACCTTACTATCTTGTGAGAATTTCTGTCCTTTTAAATGTGGATCCTGGTACACAATTAGAAGTCTGCTACTTTATGCCTGTATGTTGGCAGATTTTAATTTCTACTTTTTTTTCTTAATACTAACCTAGTTAGGTCATTTGGTTGATAAAGCATGTAATATTATATAGGAAAAATAATGTATATATAAAGAAAAACTGATACTAACCTAAGTGAAAATGAAAATCACATAGAAATGAAATATGGAAGAAGCCATAGTGTCTAAGAATTGGCCAGGCTGGCACTTTTATTTACAGCCTTGTTGAGTGACACCTGACATGCTTCCTGGGGAGTTACCTGCTGACCACTGAACTGTCAACCATGAACATAGGGCACACATTCTCTAAAGTAAGAAAATTAGCTTATAGAGTCCAACTATCAAATTGCTTCACAATTTGGGTATTCCAATGGATTTTTTAAAAAAAAACTTTGCCCAATAATTTAAAAATATCGTGGCTTTATGAAGTCATAATGCAGGCTAATCACTAAACCTTCTCCATGCTAGAAACAGGTGGACACCTGAGTCATGGAATGTTAGACAGGTCAGATATGAGAGCAGTGAGAAATTTTATTTGTTCTCTTACTTCCATCCAAATACCCTTTCTGAGACACATGAAAGCATGCACACTAATGGCAATCTTATAAAGGAAAGCTATTGTAGCCCCTCAGCTGCAAGTCAACAATAATATAAATAAAATCTTAAATTATGTGAAAGGATTCACAGGTAGGCTGTTAATTTTCAGAAAAGTTATGCCAAGTCAAAACTAACATGTTTAAGAGATGCTTTTAATTTTTCAAACATTTTGATACAATTTATTTCCAATTACCACATTTTATAGACTGCTCTGGAGAATAAGTACAGTGCTAATGTTCAAAAGATCATATGCAGACCACTTGCCCTGTTTAAAAAGAATCTATTATATCCATGTGATTCTAATGGTACTGGCTTTTAAAATTCAAATGCAGAGCACACACGTAATATTTAAAGGTTTGTTTTAGTTTGTGTGTATAAGCATGTGCATGTGGCTGCCTACGGAAGCCAGAGAATGTGTCCAATCCCAACTGGGCTGGATAATAGGCTTTTGTGAGCCTCCATGCAGGTGCTAAGGAACTGAACCCTCTGCAAGAGTGCTCTTAACTGCTGAGCTGCTCCAGCCCCCAGCCATGCTTGAAGTCTCATAACTTACACTTATTTTGATCTGGTCAAAAGAAGCTCTAATAGGACTGCTAAAAAATGTATTTAACAGAGATGTGAGGTTGATCTCAACTTCACTTTTTAAGTAAAAGACAGTAACAATTCAGCACAATAACATGATGAACAAGTTTTTTATTCGTTTTTAGGACACTATGTTCTGTGGATGTGTGTGTATTGTATATGAATATACATATCCATATATGAATATACATATCCATATATGAATATACAAATGCACAGAAACCAAGTGACAGCACATGACTCTTCAAAGATGTTTGAAATGACTCATTTCCTGGTTTTAAGAAAACAAATATAAGAGGCAAAATTTCCCTCAACTTAAACAAAATTTATTTATTGTGATTTAAATGTCTATTTCAACTTGATTAATGGTATATAATTCTGTGACAAAAATCTGCATGAAGTATGCAGAAATGTTACCTTAAAGGACTGGTAGGCAATCACACTTAAATTACAACATAAAAATACAGCAAATCAAACTTTAGAAAGCCTCCTTCCATAGGATACACTGTTCCATGACTGAGAACAGTGTGATTTGGTCCTAGAAGGTAGCTCTTGTTCACAGGTGATATGTATCAACAGTGTGGCTCCATGAAAACTGAAGAGAAATAACATTTACCCAATCCTGATGCTTCTTGACATAAACAAATGCAAAATGCTTCTGCAGTAGCCAAGGAGGCTTACCCACAGGAGTCAGGGAAATGCCTCTTTGAGCCGGGCAGCACTGCCTGCAACCCAACAATGAACAGCACCACTGGAGGACACCAAGCCAGAGGGCAAGGGCTGGAACAAGCAGCAAGCAACCATGAGTGCACACGCTCCAGTCCAAATGCAGCGCCAAAGCAAAGGGAGACAGGCAGAAGGCACGTGCCAGGACAGATAGTCAGGATGCTGGCAGACTTCCATCACCTAGAGTTCTGTGGATGTCCATTCCAATATGAAAATAACAGGAACCCTTGTGTTTAAAAGCAGTCCAGCACAGATGCTAGGAGGCACTAACTCAGTAGCTCAGACGCTGGGTTATTTAAAGCTCTGCCAAATGAGACAGAGTCATAACAGAGCTTCAACTCCATTCGGACACTTTACACATTATTCTCTGCAGAAGAGGGGAATGCAAATTAATCAATTTTAATAAATATTAGAAATGTTTGTTATTTTGCAAATATAAAGAAAACTAGCTAAATAGAACAATATAATAAAAATATACACTAGACAGATTTTCACCATGAATACTTTTCACCTTTTTTCTTTGAACTTTTCAACACATAATTACAGTATCTTTCATTGACTTGCAGAATTTAACAAAAACCCAGTATCACATAGCTTCAAAATATAAAATACCTTAGTGATAGGAGTTTGAGCTGCCAAGTAACCAAAATGTAAGGTAATGAATATAGTGAAATATGCTACAAAGTAATGTTAAAATACAGCCATCTGAATTACAAACATTAAATTATACAATCCAAATAATCTTCACAAGTGGACATTAGTTCATGGAGAACATAAAAAATAGCATAAACTCCACTTAGCTTGCATGTGTCCAGCAACTCCAGCACCTGAAAAGCCATGTGTGTCTGCCCCAAATCAACTGCATGTTGGCTGTGGTCACTAATTCTATTTTATCCAGTGTTCAATCAACAAGGTTTTTAAAAAACTTCTTATTTAATTCAGGAAACAATGTGATGTAATGTGTAGCCATCAGTAAGAGACAAATGACCGGAGCACATTACTTGCTTATGTTTTAATAACAAACCAGAGGCAGCCAAGGAGGGTTCCATACAACCAGGTACCCACATACAGTTTCCTTCCAGAATCTGTCATGAGCATGACAGCAGTCAGACTACCCAAGATCAACACTGATGGTAAAGTCTTCTTGACACTTAGTCTGGAATGAACACTTTTCCCAGGAAATTTGTTTCTTCTTTCTGGATCTGGTGAATCATAGAATTCTATGAGCAACCTATGGCCAGAATGAAAAACACGAGAATTGATACTTTCAGTTTTAGGCATTTTGGTGTTGAAACAAACAAACAAACAAACAAACAATCTACTAGATACTAAATACTTGCTGAGCAAGTACAGTTCCTTAGAAAATCCAGATGAGTGAGGAGACATCAGGGATGGCAAGGCAGGATGTTCACCACTAGTTGACAGTATCGTTGTAGTCTATTCTTACCATATGGGAAGTGAAACCCAAAACACTTGGTTTAAACTTTTGATGAGGACTTTGGGGGAATATATATGTATAAAGATATGCTTATTTACTTTTATGTGTATGGGTGTTTTGCTTGTGTATGTACCATGTGCGTGTCTTGTGCCTGCAGAGGCCAGTCAGGGTGTCAGATCCACTGAAAAAGGACTTACAGACAAATGTAAGCCACCATGTGGGGGTGCTGGGATACAAACCCAGGTCCTCTGGAAGAGTAGTTAAGTGCTTTTAACTGCTGGGCCATCACTCCAGCCCCGTTTTTTGGTTTTTACCTTTCCATCTGTAAGAAGTTATAGCAACCTGACTCATATGACTAGTGACCTACCAGCTTCACTCCTTTCTCCCATAGCTCTCATCCCATAAAAAGAAAAGGGCTGAGGCTGTAGCTCAACGGTAGAGTACTTGTCTATCATGTGTAAGTCCCTGGATACAATCTCACAGAAATAAGCTTTAAAAGAAGTTAAAGGAAAAAATTCTTACAACATACAGTTTTCATCCTGTGGCAGTTTGAATAGGAATGTCCTCCACAGGTTCATATATTTGAATGCTTAGTCACCAGGGGATGGTGACTATTTGAAAAGGATTAAGATGTGTGGCCATGTTGCATCACATGGGCTTTGAGGTTTCAAAAGCCCATGCCAGATCCAGTCTCCCTCAATCTCTATTGTCTGTGGATCAGGATGTAACTCTCAACTGTGTCTTTAGCAACATGCCTGTCTGCATGCTCCCATGCTCCCCATCATGATGACAATGGAAACTATAAGAAGTCCCTAATTAAATTCTTTCTCCTATAAGAGCTGCTTTGGTCATGGTGTCTTTTCAGAGCAACAGAGCATTGACTAAGACACCTCCCACAAGTTTTTATTCCCATGTAATTATAAAAACAGACGAGACAAATAAAGAATGTAGTTTGTTAATTATCCCCTCTGACTTAAAGATGTAAGGTTATAGCAGCAAGACAGGACACACAGCACAGGAAGTATTCCTACTGCCTTATGGGCATAGCCATAGAGGTAACAAGTACATGTTTGGTGTAGAATATTTTAAGATGTGTTACATTCATTTATGCTGTTTATGCTGTTTGTTTAATGATGCAAAGATGTGTTTCATTCTTTTATGTTGCATTTGTTTAACCCTGTGAAGCTGTGTTATTATGCCTGTCTAAAACACCCGATGGTCTAATAAAGAGCTGAATGGCCAATAGCAAGGCAAGAGAAAGGATAGGTGGCGGCTGGCAGGCAGAGAGAATAAATAGGAAAAATCAGTGAAGAAAGGATTGATGTATGAAAGGAGGAAAGGAGGACTCCAGGGGCCAGCTACGCAGCAAGCCATGGAGTAAGAAGTAAAGAAGGCATATAGAAATAGAAAAAAGTAAAAGCCAAGGCATAAGGTAGATGGGATAATTTAAGAAAAGTTGGCTAGAAATAAGCCAAGCTAAGGCTGGGCATTCATAAGAAAAAATAAGCCTCCATATGATTTATTTGTGAGTTGGGTGGTGGGACCCCAAAGAGCAAAAGAGCCAAAGAGAAAAAAAAATAAAAACAACATATATGTTAAATGTCTGTAACACAAACAGGTGGGTATTAAACACTGTCCAGTCGTTTTCTGAAAACACAGTTTCATATTAAAATACATAGGTCTTCTTACACTTTTCCCATCATCAAAGTGATCCTGAGTTGAAAAATTATGTCAGGTACTAAGATGTGACAACGAAATTCATAAATCTAGTATGATATTTCATTTTCACCCAGCAGTATTTTCTTTACTAATTTAAGAAAGGAGACAATTTCATTATGAAAACATCAACTGCCCCTCCTCTTCCCACAGCACACTGGTGTTGTGCTCACTTGTACTTTAAGGTCTTGATCTCCACAGCCTTGCGGTTCCCTCCTTATGTAGCTAACACAGAGGAAAGGCTCTTCCTTATCACATAGCAGCTTACTGTACAGAAAACACAGCAGGTAGGCCACTATGACATAAGCTTTACAGTAACTCATAACAGTTTAAAATGTGAGCATGTAAGCATACAGTAAGATTTAACTTGAATTCATTCTTGAAACAATACAAACTTTAGTTTCACTTTAGCTGTGCCATTAGCTTTTGTAAAAAGCCTCCTAGTTGACTGTGTTTAGTTGTCATTGTACAGACACCAACAGCCATACTGATGAATGTTGAAGTTAATTTTTATACAACGGCAATGCACCATTAAATGGGTCGCACAGGAAGTATGTAAGGCCTTATCTATGCAAGTTTGATTAGTATTTCCTAAATAATGAAAACATCTCTTTTTCAAACTGGTTACTATTGTGAAATTTAGTTGAACTGTAGTTTATGAATGCTGGAACTGTTACCACTTACTTATCTTTTATCTCAAAACGCTCATGAAGCCATATTTTCATTTGTTCTTGTTCCTCTGGAACTTCATTTTTGTCTATACGATCAAAGTGAATATGAAGTTTGGGACACTGTTTGCAGAGAAAGTCTAACAAAGAAGAAAAAGATTTCAGGTCTTCCTACTCTAGAATTCATGATTACATAATGTAACTTACAGTGAAAACAAAGCGATAAATATCCAGAAAAGTTGGAAAAAACTATAAATTTATGACTTGCAGTATTAAGCTCCATATCAGTACACAGATAGCACTTGCTAACCCTGTGTTGACTATCATTGGCTTCTAGCAGCTGAACTGGAGAAGCAGTCATCCCTCCTCTAGTTATGGAAATGCCATAATAAAACCTATCACTTTGTATACTAACTTAAAAATTAATTTTAAAAATATCTACATTAAAATCTTTTATATTTTAGTACCTTTTCTCTTTCACTGTCAAAGTCAGTACCTTCCTCAAAGTATGGAAGAAAGCTGGTTGGTTTGATTATCAAACTGCTTCATGTTCCTATGGCTTAACATGAAAATAAAGACCAGTGCTGGATAAGTATTTAATACAAAGGGAGTGTGTGGGGCCAGGGAGACTGCAGATCTCTTTAAAAATAAACTTGAAGTCTACATCACACTGTGGTTTGCAGATATTTCTTAGAGTGCATCTTCTTTCTGCCTCTTCCTCCTTAATACTGGGATTATTCTAAGAGAGCTCTTTTGTATGTGGCAAATATGTGTCTCTCGGTCTCTCCCCTCTCTCTCTCTAAAATGAATCTTCTGAGAGGGGCCAGAATCTTCACCACTCCTTTGTTCACCTGTTCCCATGTTCAAATGTTCAGTTTGTGGCTACAGTTCTCTAAACTATTCTCACTCAAAGCCCTTTGTTTGTATGACACAGACAATAGTTCTGAGTCCTTAAAATCAAGCACGTGCTTGAAAAAGGCACAATTTCTTCTTGTACAATAATACAAATGTCCTTCTCAAACATGCTATAAAGAAGGCTCAAGACAAAATAAATTATAAAAAAAAAAGGGTGTGTGGGGGGCGAAGCTGGGTGTAGTGGCTTGAGTTCAAGGCCAGCTTGGTCTACATAGTGAGTTCCAGGAGAGTCAGAGATACATAGTGGGACCCTGTATTGAAAAATAAAACCAAACCAAGCAAAACAAGACAAAAAAAAAAAAAAAAAAACCAACAAAAAGAAAGTTCAAGACTACACTGACCATCATTGTACTCCTTGACATTGCTAGCTGAGCAGCTTGTCCTCGTATCTTTGTAGATCTTTCCAGTCTCATATGTGAACCTCTGGCAGAAAGAAGCCAGGTTAATGACTTCCACAGACTCATCAGAAATGTAAAATTTAGAATGATGAGTCAAATTTCAAAGATTGTCTAGCCCTGGAGGCCAGCTTCAGGGCTAGACAATCTTAACACAGGGGTGGCTGAATCAGGAGGATTGAAAATTCAAGGCTAGTGCTAAATAGCAAGACACCATACTTCCCAGGAAAGCAATGACTACACTCACTAATTTAAAAAAAGAAAGAAAGAAAAGAGTTTGTATCTTACCTGTACCATGTACTACTCAGCCTTTAATACACAAAAATGTGGGCTTACCAGTCATGGACGGTGAGTTTGAGTATTTTCCTGACCCTTTCTCATTTCCTTCATAAACCACTGTGACATCGTAAATTGCATCTAAATGACTCTTCATAGAATCAAAAGCAACGTGAGTTGCCTTTACTCTTGGTGTCAGCACGTGTTTTAATACTGGAAGGCCTAGAAAGCAGGTGGATTCAGTGTGGTCACCATTAGGAATGCATTAAGTTCAACATCTAAATTCCTTATCAACTACCACAAATAGACAGGCATTAAAGTTTAATGCCCTAAACTCACATCTATGAGCTGGCTATGTGCTTAGAATTCTCTCTTGCATTGCCATCTTTACTTAGGTCAAAACACACAGAACACATATTCATTAAGCATCAACATGAAGGAGACACGTGATGGAAGGTGGGGAAGGCTACTCCTCAGGAAGCTTATGACCCACTGGGGCCCTTCTCTTGGATTAGCCCTGGCAGGAAAGACACCACAGAACACCTTGCCGACCACTCACATTTCTTAGGAGTAGAATTCATCATTGCCTCCACTCTCTTCTGCTGCTCCCTCTCCTTGACTTGTACTGAGAATTTCACAGGAAACACTAGGTCTCACTATAGAATTTCAACAGTGACTAGGGAGAACCCTATCTGAAGTTCCTACTGCCTCTCTCCAGGGAAAGTGGCTACATAAGGAAGAACAACAGCTACAGTATGGTGGGACTGTTCTCAAAAGAATTTTTAAAATGCAGGGTGGTGTGGGAAAGAAAATGATTCCCACAACCACATATCTGACTTCAGTCCCCAGGGCAGAAGGAGTGTAATTTATTCACAAACTTGTACCAAAGTCTGAAAAGTCAAACAAGCTGGGAAACTTCTCTTGTCAGCTAAGTCCTTCTTTGCTACTATAGGCCATCCAATCTCAGGACTTTTACAGAGTCACCCTGTCAATCTTGCAGGCTGCATATACCTTGACCAGAATGATGGATGGTTGGATGGATAGATGGACGGACGGATGGACGGATGGACGGACAGACGGACAGACAGACAGACAGACCCAGGCTGGCCTCATATTTATGATCCGATTTTAGATCCCAGGCACAGGGGTCATAGGTATGCACTACCATTTCTGGCTTAACCAGTATTTTTATTAGATGATTAGGACGGAAGCCCCAAAAAGCAGATTAGACATGGAATCAACATATGAGAAGAAAAAACTTAAGCAAATTCTTGCCTGTCTGTACCTAGTTACATCCAGTCCACTAATGTCTAATTATTACAACCACACAAACTATGCTTACAACTGTCAGGGTCCATAGAAATGGCTCCACTTCATCTTGACTTAAGGTCAGAGAGTTTTTGCCCACTCTTGCTCTTCCAAGGTGAAATAACAAGAAAGTCTGGCCTAAGATGTGTACACAACAGGATACTTGGCATAGGATGTGGTTGCTGTATGTCCTGCCTGAACAACAGAATGTTTAACTCAGGATATAGTTACTTGGTGTGGTTGCTACATATCCTGCCTAAACAACAGCATACTTAATTGAGGAGATAATTACTTGATGCTTTGGGTATTGAAAAGGTAAAATTACACTTGCTTGTTTTTTATATCTTGGTAAGGAAGTCTTTTGCCTTCTCTCCCTCTTTTGATGGGAATATAAAAACCGTGTACAATAAACATGGGCATTCAGTATTCACTGGATTGCCCTTCTGATTCTATTCTGTGCTTTCTGCCTTTTCTTTAGTATCTTTACTTGCCATGTCTCAATCCACACTCCCCCTCTCAGGTATGAACCAGGCAAGTCGGCTGGATCTGACTGAACCCCCCCCCCCCCAAAGATAGGTTCTTACAGATGGCCCCTCAACATGGGGCACAAACAAAGTCTGGTTACTACATACAACTAAGACAAAGCCTGGCCCTTCAGTGATGGCACAGAAGGAAATTCCCATCCTAAGTCAGACAGCACGTCGTCCTCCTCTAGTCTTCATGTAGAAAGAACTGTGATTCCCAACCAAGTGGTTCTCAATTCTGAAGCATGATGTGACATACACTGTCCTGAAACTTGAAGTCATTATCTGACTGTGTATTTATCCAATTCTTAGATATAATCTTAAAGGACTTGTCTGAGAATACCACAATGACCCCCCTCCACCACACACACCCCCAGGGTTTCTCTGTGGCTTTGGAGGCTGTCCTAGAACTCACTCTTAGACCAGGCTGGCCTTGAACTCACAGAGATCCACCTGCCTCTGCCTCCCTCATGCTGGGATTAAAGGCGTGTGCCACCACCTCCCGGCTGACCCCTTATTTTATGGACTTATTTTAAAAATAATTAAGAAATGAAAAGTGTCTCAAAAAGTAGACAAAAATAAACAAATAAACCCTCCTTGTGGATATCTAGTACCTGCTCTGGTATCTTTCTGCCTTGCTTTCCTCTCCAGATCTCCTCAATTATTCTGTTCTATAAACCACACTTCAGAAACAGGGTAAATGGGGTCAAAAGCACAGATGTACTTGTCATGTCTGATATAACTAGAGAGCTGACTAAAGACAACCTACCTTCCCTTTAGTGCTAAAGGGATTCTATTATACCCTTTGGGTAACTAGACACAGGTTAGAGAAAAATGCCTCCTGAGGAATTTGCCTGTAGGCCAGCCTATAGTGCATTTTTTTTTTTTTTTTTTGATTGATGTGGGAAGGACCAGCTCACTGTGAGCAATGCTACATCTAGGATGATAGCCCTGGGTTCTATAAGAAAGCAAGTTATGAGGAGTAAGCCAATAAGCATCACTCCTCCATGGCCTCTGCATCAGTGCCTGCCTCCAGGTTCCTACCTGTTTGAATTTCTGCTTTCTACCCTCAAAGATGGACCATGATGTAGATCTATGAGCTGAAACAAACCCTTTCCTACCCTGGTTGCTTTAGGTCATGGTATTTTATCAGAGCAATGGAAATCTTAACTAAGACAGCAGAGAGTTTATGATGTTCTTAATGGCTGGAGAAATGAGAAAACAAACAAGGTTGCTGATATCTCGGAAATGAGAGGCAGAAACAAATGGGCTCAGTGGGGCTAGCAAGATGGCTGAGAGGGCACATGGGCTTGCTCTATAACATATACTTCTTAAACACACAGCTATGGCACATAATGAGCTCTGTCTTTGCAGAGTGAGCAAAGCCCATCTTCTTGGTTTCTGCTGTACCTCTCAGTATTAGCTTAGTCATTACTAACAGACTTGCCTGCGGTGGTGCCCGACCTGCACTCTCTGATTATTACACATACACCTGTATTTCTGTATATGATACACATATATTTGTGTACATTTATTTATGCTATACACCAGTCTTTATACTGAGTCACCCACAAAAGTGTACTTTCTTGGAATAATCATTTACTTATATTTTAACTTAATTCACAGCATGGGAATATGAGCCATAGCAACTAACCTCTGTGACACAAATTACTAAGAATCTGCTTAATTCTGTAAAAAATCAGACATTCTTTCATTCAGTTCTTATAAGAAACACATTCTCATGGGCTGGAGAGATGGCTCAGGGGCTAGGAGCACTGACTGCTCTTCCAGAGGTCCTGAGTTCAATTTCCAGCAATCATATGGTGACTCACAACCATCTATGATATTTGGTGCCCTCTTTTGACATACACCCAGAACATTGTATACATAATAAATAAGTAACCTTAAAAAGAAACAAGACAGACAGACAGACATATTCTCCAGGAAGAAGCTAAAGAAAACAAAAATCATTCTCCTCAAAAAGTATTTTTTCTGAATATAGTCAAATTTTTACTTACCCCGTTGAGCAGCAAATGCCTGACTGGCTGAAAGCAGTTTTGTGTGTGTTTTATTATACCTTGTTCCCTCTGGGAAAATCACAAGATACATCTGTGGGGCACAAATAAACTTTAGTTTGTGTGAGTCTATTGTTGTGAACACTGACTTAGCAATTCGAACTGTTACTGTTGCAGCAGTGTTTCATATGGTGAGAAAAATGTGTATTCATTTACAAACAACCTTTACTTTAGCAGAGATTCAATTAAGACTAACCACAACAGGGACTATAATAAAGCATAGCTCTACATTTATGGTAAAGCCAATCTGTTTAGGAAACAGTTTTAGGATATGCTAGTAGTCACTAATACAAAATTTAGACACAAAATGCTGCTGTGATTAATGACTACCCCCTCCAGTTCCCCAAAATAAACCATGACGTTTGCACATATTAAAATTTTATTATTACATTCAACTGTACATGTTAGTGGAATCTGCCATAAGCCTACACAAACACACAGAGTGCATTATCATATCCAACCTCCAGTCTTCCTTCCACCTTTATAGGGGTGTAGCTAGCAATGTCTTTAAATATCAAGGCTAACAGTATATCTATCTGAAAACTGCTTATGAATTTAGTATTTGCATTTCAAAAGGCTCATACAATATTCCACTGTATAGAAACTCTGGGTGCATTTTACATCACTTACTTTAAGTGACCTCATACTCATTACTTAAAACTGAGAATACAGTATCTCAAAACAAAATGAAGTAGCAAGATAGATACTAAGTCATTAATTGATGTAAGTTTTTATACTTAATGTCTTGGGAAAGTAAAAATAAAATTATTAAGGCCATGTAATAAGAAAACTCCTACTTGAGAACTGAGTGGTATAAAACACTTTTTAATTGGTGGCCAACAGACAATCTCATCAAGTAAACAGAATAATATAGAAAAAAATAGGATAGGGATTCAAAAGAGAAAATTATGTTCATTTATCCATGTTCAAATGATCCAAAACAATATTATTTCCCTACACAGCTATTATAAGAAGCAATGTTTTTTCTAAGCAATCTGTGGCTATGAAAGCCCTACTAAATGAACCGATAGAATATAAATTTGTTTATGAAACAAGCTAGCAAAGAAATGCAGTGAATCATCTGAAAAGCCGATATAATAATGTACAACAGCATGCCTGAAAGTCTCCATTTTCAGGTCCCTTTGTCCCCAGGGGCTGGTATTGTGAACAGCTGTGTCATTACGCTGGGAGCTTGTAGAGTCTTTAAAGTATGCAGCCTAACCAAAGGAAGTCACTGAGGGGCAGGCTTTGATAATTACAACCCAGTTCCACTTCCTGTCCTACCCAGATGTGAGCAAACAGTATCATCCTCTGGTGGCCTGAGCTATGTCAGAGTGCCACCCTGCATGATGGAATATACCAACGAAGCATAGGCCAAAATAAAGCCTTTCCTTAAGTTGCTTCTTATTAGAAATTTAACTAGGGCTCTATGCAGAGTGGGTAACAGAACATAGCACAGAGAGTGGTGTTATTGCTATGGTAAACCTGACCCCATGGCTCTTAGGCATTTGGTTTTAGGTCTTCTGCGATGTTTGAGGGTAGAATTTGGAATATTTTGTGGCTATTATGTAGAGAACCCCTTAAACATTGTAACTAGAACTTGACTGGCCAATCTGATGGTAGCTCAGAAAATCAGGATGAGAGAGAAATGCAAACAGTGGGGCCAGGTTCATGATGTTTCAGAAGAAACAGTGAAGATTGGGAGTTGTGCCAAGAGACTCTTGTTACATTCTAGAAAGAATCTGGCTGCATTTTACCCAATTCCTGATAATATGAGTTAGACTTAATTAAAAAGCAACGGATTAATATATTTGGTAAAGGAACTCTCAAGACAACAGTATCCAGGTTATTACTGCTCACCACTCTTGGTCAGATTTACAATGAGAAAGAACAGAAAGATGTTGGGGAAAACATGTGGTCTGGGAATGAAAGGAGTGTGAGCAAGTTTAAAGTTACAGACAAGGAAAGTGTGCAGAAAGCAGCTATACTAGAGGTTAAATGCTGGAATAGGAAAACCTCCTCAGATTCTGTACCGAGACAAAAGATTCTCTCAGTGCAAAAGACTCCCATCCACAGATGGGTCTAGCCTACAAAAAAGCAAAGTCATTTGAGGAGAGAGTGTGAACTGAGAAAGCCTCAGCAGGGATTATCTCCTAGAAGACAATCACTTAGGAAAGCTACATTACAAAGGCCACTGAAGTCCAAGGGGTCCAGGTTGTTTCTTGAAATAGCATCAGATCTTGGTAGCAGCATCAAGAGACATTAAGAGTGAAGTGAAGGGGTAATACAGGCTTGTACCAAAACTGACTGGTAAGTGGAGGCCACAAGGTAAGAAGCAGGTGAAAGGAAAAAGAAAAGAACTCTGCAAGTTCTTACAATAGTCATGTTGCTCTACTACAGAGAGGGAGCCATGGGAAAAAGACATTTGGCAGCAATTAGCACTCTTGAAATAGAAGATTGAAATTCTTTTTTCCCCTTTATGGGGAAAAGTTCTATAAAATATTTACTTTAAATGATTTTTCATTAGGAGACTCTTTGCTTTTTTTTGTAAACCTTAATTTATTCAATAAAAATCCAAATTTACACAAACAGAAAGCAGTTACTCTTCTGAAACTAAATCTAGTATGAAGACTAGCTCTTTGGTTCTTACATGGAAAGCTGCCAATGAACCTCCATCCTCTGTAGACTAAAATACAACACTTGTTCTTCCAGAGCCTAGAAAAATCCTATAATCATCAGTAGCAATCTTTCCTGACAGCCAAGATGATAGTTTATCATGGGTAATATGCTTTCAAAATGACTTAGAGTTTAATTTCTTAAATTGCAAACCGAGTTGAGGATTGGAAACAGCACTCTTACTGGTGTTCCTGCGTTCACGTAGCTCTGAAGTTTGTTTCTCATTTCTTTTTCATTAAATTTGGCACTTCGTTTTACATAAATTCCTCCATGCTAGTACATAAAAAAGAAAAAGAGCAATTACTCTTTAAATATCTAATCATCACAGTCATCAAAAGGGCAACTTTATTCTCAATGAGTAAAGAATAAAACTACATTTCAGAACTCAAGCTACAGTTAATATTTAAATATTACTATCTCTACAAGTTGTAACCAAATATTTTATTTCTCCAGAACCCAAGTAAAACTGTGTGCTCCATTGTACTGGAAAGTACACAAACATTTAATTTTGTCAGCAGTTAAGATATTCTTTCTTTAAAAGATTTTATTCAAAAACTTTGTGATGGACCTTAACTCATTGATTTCTACTGTCATTAACAAAGTCAATTAAAAGTATTCTTAAAATGTCCACACTCCCAGGACTGGAGAGATGGCTCTGTGGATAAGAGCACTTGTTGACATTTCAGAGGACCAGGTTTCAGTTCTCAGCACTCACATGGTCACAACCATCTCTAGCAGTTGCAGGAGGGTTCAGTGTCTTCTGACCTCTATGAGCACCAGGGATACATATACACAGATACTCAATCAAATAAAACAAATAAAAAACAATAAATAAATAAATAAATAAATAAATAAATCCACTGGCCGGGAGGAAAGTGTTGGGCTAAAAAGGCTGGGATGTGAGGCCCAGTGTAACCTCCAGAGCCTGGCTAGAGTTTGGCGACCTGTCTCTGGCCTATAACCTCCACGTGGGGGTGACTCAGCAAGGCCTGATGTAAGACTGCCCCCTGCCTGTAAGACCCCCGGAAGCTCAGGCCTCCAGGATCTCAGCCCAGGACTGCAGTCACCCCAATCACCAGGTGGAGTCGAAAGCTTGATGCAAACTGCATGAGGCTTTATTATAGTTGTTTAACAAGCTAAGCCCATGTTAGCTCAGGCCTTCCATCAATCCACCATGGCAGATGGTTAGGAAAGACAGCTCGAAGCATCTGCATAGAGATCTTATAGAGCAGCGTAAGGGGAGTGTCTAGGGTGATGCACAGGCTCAGGACTGGTGTGCCTCCAGGCTGGGAGGTCTTGCCCTGTGTTGATTGGTCGACTGGTTGTTATGGCCCATAGGCCCTCCCAGGGTGATTGCTATGCTATGCACATCATTGCTGTGCACTTGTCTGTAAAGCACACCCAGAGCCATAAAGCATAGTACCACCAGCTAACTTCTGATTGGTTCCTTGCCACGAGGCAGGAATCTGACCTCCTAGTGACTAAGGCAATGTCAGACAAGCACGTGTTCAGCTGTTATGGCTGCCAAAATGGGCAGGCATCTGACCTTAGTGACCAAGACAAGGTCAGGCAAGTGCGTGTTTGGCTGTTATGGCTGCTGAAATGGGGAGCTGGTCCCTTCAGCCTAGCTACCTGCCAGCTTGGTGGAACATTATTGGCCCTTACTCCTCAAGTCACCTTACCCCATCCTAAGAATCTCACCCCTACCTCAACCCTATATAAGTTCCTACCTGTTGGAATAAAGATCCTGCTTTGACAAGTCTCCTAACTCAGTGTGTATTTCTCCCCAGGAACTAGGAGGGGGAAGGTTCTGAGTCCTCAACACTCACCATATCCCTCAGCCCCAGGAAGAGACAGGTTGGACTGGCCCTTCCCTCGATCTACCTGCCAGAAAACCCTACAGGAAAGGGCATATTTTTTTTTTTAATGTCTATAGTTACAACCTTTAAGAAATTAAAACATAGACTAAACACCAGAAATACATATACACAAGACACTCAGTCACACAAAACAAATTAAAAACAATAAAGAAAGGATAAAAGGAGAGAAGGAGGGAGGGAGAGAGGGAGAGAGGGTGAGAGGGAGAGAGGGAGAGAGGGAGGGAGGAAAGAAAGGAAGGAAGGAAGGAAGGAAGGAAGGAAGGAAGGAAGGAAGGAAGGAAGAAGGTAGGAAGAAGGAAGGAAGGAAAGGTATACATTTTTTTTAAAGAAATGTCTACACTTACAGTCTTTAGGGAATAAAAATATGGACTCAACTACAGAGATTTATGTGACATCATTACAGATGAAATTTTGTTCCCCCAAAATCTTATATTGAAGCCCCAACTTTCAGTGACTGTATATACAGATAAGGTCGGTAACAAAATAATTACAGTTAAATAAAATATACTAGCTAGGGCCCTGCTAGTGGAACACAACCCAAGAATGCATACATATGAAAAAAGCCCAGCTCAGAATACAGAGAGAAGGCAGACTTCAAGCCAAAAATGTGGGCCTGGGGAGAAAGCAGCAGCACCAACACCCTGATCCTGAGGAGACTTCCAGCCTTCAAAACTGTGAGATATGCACTCCTTCACACTCAACACTTCATATACTGAGCTCAGGATCTGGTTTTTATCTCCTACAGATCACTAACTACTTCTGAATGGATTTCTTTTTTTTAACTTCTAAAAAATAATTAATTTTTATTTTATATGCATTGGTGTTTCTGATTTCATGTATGTCTGTGTGAGTGTGTTGGATCCCCTGGAACTGGAGTTGATGAGCTGCCATGTGGGTGCTTGGAATTGAACCCAGGTCCTCTGGAAAAACAGTCAGTGCTCTTGACCAACGAGACATTTTCCCAAGCCCTTGAATTAATTTCTTAACATAACTGATTAACTGTCAAATTCTATGCCTTTTAATTTTCTATTTGACTTCTAGGTATTTGTATTTCTGCTACTCAATTTAACTATTTGGAAAACCAGGCATGTAGAGACTCACCATTAAGAGTAAGAGCTGTGGAGATGGCTTAGGAAAGCATTTGTCCCACAAGTATTGAAGGGACCAGCCCCCCATTTTGGCAGCCATAACAGCCGAACACGTGCTTGTCTGACCTTGCCTTAGGCACTAGGAGGTCAGATGTCCACCTCGTGACCAGGAACCAATCAGAAGTTAGCTGGTGGTGCTATGCTTTACGACCCTGGGTGTACTTTACGGACAAGAGCAAAGCAATGATGCACAGCGCATAGCAACCACCCTGGGAGGGCCTATTGGCCATAACAACCAGTTGACCGATTGACACAGGGCAAGCCCTCCAAGCCTGGAGGCACAACAAACACAAGCCTGTGTGTACCCCTAGACACTCCCCTTACGCTGCCCTACAAGATCTCTCGGCAGCCCCTAGGAGCTGTCTTTTGTAGCCAACCGCCATGGTGGGTGAACAAAAGACCCGAGCTAACATGGGGTTAGCTCGTTAAATTACAATAAAGCCTCATGCAGTTTGCAGCAAGCTCTCGAATCTGCCTGGTGATTGGGGTGACCGCAGTTGTGGCCTGGGACCCTGGATGCCTGAGTTTTCCGGGGGTCTAACAGGACCCAAGTTTGGATCCCTAGAACCCATGGAAATAACTGGACACAATAGTTCACACTTGTAATCCCAGAAATGGCAAGGAGGCAGGAAACAGGTAGATCCTAGAGCTCACTGGCTGGCTAGCCTGGCCAACATGGCAAAGGATTAAGAGACTGTCTCAAACAAAAAGTAGAAGGTGCTTCAGCAGTGACACCCACACTTGTGCCCCAAATTGTCCCCTGACCTCCATATGCATCAATATGATATGTGTGAACACACACAGAATTCTAAATAAAAATACTTAAATTTAAAATAAGTCATTAAATGCCCCCCCCCTTTTTTGGTTTTTCGAGACAGGGTTTCTCTGTGTAGCTTTGGAGCCTATCCTGGCACTTGCTCTGGAGACAAGGCTGGCCTCAACTCACAGAGATCCGCCTGCCTCTGCCTCCCGAGTGCTAGGATTAAAGGCATGTGCCACCAACGCCCGGCTATTAAATGCCATTTTTAAAACATCTGTATTGAGGATGTAACTCAGTAGAAGGCTATTTGCTAGCATGCATGAGGTCCCATGTTTAATCACTAGTACCATAAAACAAAGAAAATCAGTTATATTTCCATTAAGTTGCGTTCAATTTGAAATAAAAGAGCAAAAACAAAGGTTACCTGAGCAAAGTAAAACCCATACAATGGAAGCCATTTTAACCCATCTTTCAGCACATAGCGCACATGTCCAAGGGCATCCTGTCGTGCAGCCAACATGTCCGCAATAATCCAGTCAACTGTAAGACAGAACCCAGTCAGCCAAAGTCAACTCCAACCTTCCCCTCCCAGAAACAAAAACTCTTCTTCATAGTACTGTCTTCACAATATAATTGAAAACATGGCCATGGTGGCAGAGGCAGAAGTATCACAAGCTCAGAGCCAACCTGATTTACAGAGCAAGTTCAGACCCAGTAGGGCAACACAGGAAGACCTGGTCTTAAAACAGGTTTTTTTTTTTTTTTTTTTTTGCCGGGCGTTGGTGGCACACGCCTTTAATCCCAGCACTTGGAAGGCAGAGGCAGCGGATCTCTGTGAGTTGAGGCTAGCCTGGTCTCCAGAGCAAGTGCCACGATAGGCGCCAAAGCTACACAGAGAAACCCTGTCTCGAAAAACCAAAAAAAAAAAAAAAAGTTTTTTTTGAATTTTTTTTATTAATTTATTTTTTACATTCCAATCCCATGCCCATCCCACCCCCTATCTGCTCTTTGGAGAGGGTAAGGCCTCCCCTAGGAAGTCTACTATGTCTGTCCCATCATCTCGTTGAGGCAGGACCAAGGCACCTCCCCATCCCCCACACCCCTGTGTCTAGGCTGTGCAAGGTATCTCTCCATATAATGGTCTACACTAAGTCAGTTTGTGCATTAAAGTTAGATCTTGGACCCACTGACAGTGGCCTCATATATTGTCCCAGCCGCACCATTGTCACCCATATTAAGGGAATCTAGTTTGGTCTTATGCAGGGTCCCTATTTGTTAGACCTGAGTCAGTGATCTCTCACTAGCTGGAGTCAGCTGTTTCTATGGGTTTCCCCATCATGGTCTTGACTCCTTTGTTCATATTACCGCTCTTCCCTCACTTCAATTGTTCTCTAGGAGCTTGGCCCAATGGTTAGTTGTGGATTTCTGCATCTGCTTCCATCTGTTTCTGGAAGAGGGTTCTAGCTTCTCTGGAGTTCTGAATTGTAGGCAGGGTATCTTTTGAGGTCTTTTGTTGTTTTTGTTGTTGTTGAGGTTTTGGGAGGGTTTTTTTGTAATTGTTTGATCTCAAAAATTTCAGAGAATACACAGATAATTCCATTATCTTGTTATTCCCTGAGTGAAAAAAAAATCAATTTTAATTTATGATGACCTAAAATCCTGGTGCCATGTCTAAAGGCAATAGGAGGAACAGTCATCAAATTGAAAGCTTTTAATTTTTCAAAAGAAAATGATTAAAATGCTTAAAACAAAGCTATCCCCAGACATAGTACAAATAAATAAATTAGCCTTAAATCAAGGAGGAGTTATCTTTTCCCATTTCTTAAAAGGCCTTTTATTTCAAGGATGAAACACAAAAGCTGGAGAGATTTTGCTCAGTGGCTAAAGACACTTGCTGTTCTTGCAGAGGACACAGATCTAGTACCAAGATAGTGGCTCTGCCTCTAACTCTAGTTCCAGGGCATGTGAAGCCATACTCTGAGTTTCAAGAGCACCAGGCATATACATGGTACATATATGCAGGGACTCATACATACACATAAAAAAATGTTTAAAAGCTTACAAAATATTCAGTAATCTAGTTACAGGATATATAAGGAATTAAGTCACTTTTAATTAAGACTAAAAAACCAAAAATGTTTCTTTTTAATGAAGAATGGGAAATTATAAACAAAAAATAGCAAATGAAACAAGTGTGGCTAAATATTCTATATACACAATGTCTGACAAAAGGCCGCCATGCTACATCTTTACTATGACTTCCTGGACACAGTGTTCAACTGTAACAACACCCAAACAAGGAACTCATGTGACTTATAATAGTGCTAGGTAGGTATGTAGTCCTTATTTCTCAGATTTTGAAACTGTTGAGTTGCAATCCCATAAAAGGTCACATAACTAATTTTAGGTGTTGAAAAACTTTGGAATAATTTTTTTTTTTAACAACGACAAAAATTAAGTGAAAAGCAATTGCACAATGAATCAGGTGTTTCTGGCATCTCTCCCCAAAAAGATGTATTGTGCAATGTCACTGCAGCTTTCTTTTTAAACATGCAACACTTGTGCTTCTCACTGCATACACTGTCACACCATGCAATGCCCACCAACGGTGCCAGAAACATGACTCAGGTTCAAGACCGCTAGAATGTTACCAAGTGCAGTGCATTTAACACACACACACACAGTTTCCTGCTGTTACAGAAATATAACAGTTTAATACAGAAAATATTTAATATTTCACCACTAATATTCCTCAGCATGGAAGTAACAAACCAGTATATCTGCATTTGAATGCTTGATTTTAAAAACTGCTATTTAATTGCTGGCTTGAGTTTCATTAAATGAATTTTGGCCTAACAGTAGAATGGAATTTCAAACAATTTCTGAACACAATTGTGCCGTGTTGTACTATGTGTTTTACCAAAACAACATTCTTAGAACTAACAACTACAAAATCAAAATCCTGATGAATTCTGAAAAACACTGAAATGGCCTACATCCTACTATCAAATACTCAGCAAAAGTCAACTCCTTATATACAAATTCGTCTATACCATTAGTATGCAAATTGTCTTTCATCTTTAATAAATGTTAAAATTATTATATATTTAAAAATAAATCTCTCTATTATTTATTATCAGCAAATGTTTGATCATATTATACTTATATACCTGGGGGTCACGTATTTCTCAGGTGAAAGAAATAAGAAAAGAAAGTATCTTGAAAAGCAGAAAAATTTAAATTTAAGATGAGAATAAATGGCTGTTGGACCCTTCCACGAGAATGGAAATATCAAGGTGACAGGTAAAGAAAAGTCTGCTAGGATTTAGAAAGGAATTCAAAGGTGTAAAATAGGGATGTTGTTAAAAAATTTGAATTGTATTCAGGGCCATCAAAATGGGAACAAATGGAGTCAATTAGAGGAGACAATATTTAATTTAAAACAACAAATGATTACAGGCAGTCCAACAGTGCAGGCCTGCAACCCCAGCTACTTGGAAGACTGGAGCAGAAGGATCATGAACTCAAGGCCCACCAAGGTAACTTAGTGGGACTGAGACTATGCTTCAAAATAAGAAAGAAAAAGGACTGGGGGTACAGCTCCTTAAGGAGTACATCCCAATCCTGTGTGTGCCCCTGGGCTCTATCCCAGCATGAAAGAAAGTGTGTGTGTATGTGTGTGTGTGTGTGGGGGGTGACAAACAAACTATAGGAAATAGTATAAAGCTTGGAGTTTAAAGTCTTTCCTAATGCACATACAAATGAAATATCCTAAGATTTTATCCTTTTAAATAATGAATAATAACTTTCAAGAAAAATCTTAATTAACTATTTTCAATTAAGGATTACAAAAGTCATTTCTAGTTACATCTTGGAAACATAACTAAGCCTGTGAAAAGAGTAATATAAAAGTTGTCTATATAAACACTGAGAACTAACTCTATGAAGGCTCTATGGCAGTGGTTCTTAACTTCCCTAATGCTGTGACCCTGGTCCCCATGTTGTAGTGACCCCCCCACCATAAAATTATTTCATTGCTATGTCATAACTATAACTTTGCTACTGTTGTGATTCATAATATAAATATCTGGTATGCAAGCACAAACAGGTCATGACCCATGGGTTGAGAAACACTAATCAATGTACTCCCTGGCCAGTGTATGTCCTGGATATAAATGAGATAAACAGCTAAAAGACAAATTTGATATCTTTTCCTGATACCTTATTTTTTTTTAAGCTTAGGGAATAATAAATCCATTTTTATATTTAAATAAGCAGTTATATTTTGGGCTCTGGTGCACCTTCTAAAAACTACTAAGAGAATACATACATATTTTAAAATATGTCATGTGTACAGGACAAATTTAAGGGCCCTGAGCCATGCCCTTAAATTTGAAAGTCTTAGTAAAAACACTTAAGTAGTAACTTACAAACTGGACATGGGGGCAATGCCTTTAATCTCAGAGCTGGGGAGGGTGAGGCAAGGCAATTCTCTGTGAGTTCAAGGCCAGCCTGGTCTACAAGGAAAGTCCTAGGCCAGCTGAGGCTGCATAGTCAGACCTTTACACAAATAAGAAAGTAGCTTAGTCAAATGACACAAAATAGATCCAACATGTCTACTCTATTCACTCTTGCTGAGGTTTCAGAGATAACACTGGATTAAAACATAGAAGGGAGTGTACTCATTCACATGAATACCTGCATTTTGTGCTCTAGCAAAAATAATTTAATTTTGTTAAGTTAGGATTATTTAGTAGTGATCTAAATAAGCAGAGTCATGTTCTCCTTAACCTAAAGAGAGAACAGGCAAATAAACCCTATTTTCCTCATATGTATAGTTGTATCTCATTAGTTTCTAATTCTTAAGGTTACAATATATGCCACATTAAGAGTTTATGCCCATAATCCAGCACTGTGCTACAATCACCATCATCCACACTACTGCTAAATGCCACCCATATGCCAGGCACTCTACTGGGATTATGAATCTATCTGTACACTGCCTTAAAGCCTCAACCAGTAGGTTTATCACTCACATGTAACTCATAGGCTCAGAGAACCCAACTAGTCTGACCATGGGCACAGAGCCTACAGCAGGAGCACATATACACAGGGTTTCTCAGACTGCAAACCCTCAGGTGTTTATAACCCTCCACTCAACCATACATGTATTAGTCAGGAAACTGCCATCTAAACCAAATGAGCAGTAATGAAGTTTAAAAGGTAAACAGTGTCTAAAGTAGACAATTTAAAAGGAAGGGAGGAATCACACCTCTGAAGTAAAAAATTTACGTAAGTAAGGATGTAGAGACAATAAGGATGTCAAGTAAAAGTAGCAGCTGAGAGACTGATGTAAATGTCAACTCTATATGAGCATCAGGTCAACTAAGTGAGGTTGAGCAAGGCTGGACCAACAGCAGTCCTGACACTCTCAGAGATGCTCCACTGTGATTCTGTTTACCTAAATACGTCAACCCACACTGAGTGGCTGGGCTCTAGAAGCCTCTGGAAGCCTAGAATTACATGCAAATTCTTACAGGAGCAGTTTTCTCAGAGCAGACTCCATACCTTCCTCTATCATATATAGACTAACCTGCAATTTTAATGCAATTCAGTCAATCCACTGGTATGTTCGCAAGTTGAGGGTTTTTTAAAGGTGCTCAAAAAGTAGTCTTCTTAGTTTGTGGTACATGTATATGTGACTCAGCAGAGTTCTTGCTTAATATGCAAGGGGAATGGGGGGAAGAGGCAGGGGGAGAGAGAGAGGGAGAGAGGGAGAGAGGGAGAGAGGGAGAGAGGGAGGAGGGAAGAGAGAGACTGTCAGGCAGTGGTGGCACATGCCTTTAATCCCAGCACTTAGGAGGTAGAGGGAGGCTGATCTCTTTGAGTCTGAGGCTAGCCTAGTCTACCAAGTGAGTTCCAGGACAGCCAGAGTTACACAGAGAAACCCTTTTTGGGGGTGGGGAGTGGTGGTGGTGGAAGGGAGTGTTCTTGTTGGGAACAGGAAAAATCACCGTGTCCTTGGCACGGCCATTTTGACTTCAGATTCCATTTTACCAGAAGAGTAAAACAAAGTTCAGATTCCCAAGCTCTAGGGGAGCTGGAAACCTTTCAGTAGCTGAGCCATTCCTAAACCACAGAAACAGTCATTATGCCATCTTTAGTTCTCTAGAAACATTATGGCTGTTCTTAACAACAGAAGGAACATATGAATCTGATTGGTTGGACTGAAAAGCTTGCATTGTATGTCAATTGACAATAATGAAACTTTCAAGGGAGCCTCTAATCTCTAAATCCTGACTGGTGAAAATTGTAACTGTAACTTGGCAACAAATGTTTGTGATTTTTGTGCTTAAATACTTGCTTCAACTGACATTTGAGAGTCGATCAATCAGATTCTCCCCTTCCCTCCTTTTGTGTTGCCCTGCATTAAATCTTGCTTTGCAGTAACCTCTTGTGTCTACTTGGGCTGATTCAGAGTCTTGGACTACAACATCCTCAATCCCCAAAGGCTGGCTGTTAAAGGCATCAGCCCTACAGCAGTCTCTTGGAGGCGGGGTAAGGGAATGTCCTTCTAGACTAAGAAAGGAATTGGCTTAGTGTGGCTTGGCTTGGATCTCTTGCTTCCCAGATTACCTTCAAATTCCAAACACCAAGTAGGATTCTTATGGGCTGCTCACTTACAATGTTTTTCCTGAGGTCTGCTCTAAAGGAATACCCACAAAGGCCAGCATGGACAATAGTGAAATGATAGCCGCAGCTCCCTCAGCACACCTCTTACTGCATGGCCCCCAATGTGGTTCCACATGCCCTTACTAGGACTGCAGTTGTTAAATTCTGAAGAAAGAAGCTGATGGGAAACTCTACAGAAAGAAATATGCAAGGGATCAACCTCTGGTCAACAGAAAAGGCAACGTGGAAGAATAGACATTGTCCTGGGCCATTTGGATACTTGAGCCAGGTAAAAATTCCCATCAACAACAGGAGGTCAGGCTGTGGTGAAAAGGTCAGCATGTCTGGACAGGCCAATTAGAAGCAGACAATCATCCTGGGCTGTTTTGTGGTTCTGCTCAAAGCCAAATGCAGATTCTGAGCCAGTCTCATAAATGTGACCCAGGATAATAAATCTGATATCAAAGTCCCTATCAAGCTTTGGAGCTTCAGCACTGTCTCATCAATCTGAATGAAATTACCAGTGTGCCAAACTGGAGAAAAGATTGTTCCAACTCCTTTATCTATGTAGTGTATATGGTACAAGCTATACAAAAGCAATAAAATCCCAACAAGTTGGCTGATGTGAGGGTGTAAATGACTTTACATTCAGAATATCATCACTGTGGTGTTTTAGCTTTGGTTTCTAGGTATTGTACCTTTCAAAGCAATAAAAATGAAACATAGAAGGTATATATCCAAAGCAGCCATGGGTTTGGAAAATACATAAAGTGGGATGTTTGGAGGAAGTGAGTTACTGGAAGAATTAAAGCACATATTAGGTAATCATGTGACCCCTGGCTCAGGTTCTGCATCTGTCAGACATCCGATGCAGAGGAACTTCAGGAAGGGACCACAGGACTCAATGTATAATTTTCACAATGTATTGATAATCACTTAAAAATATATAGTTTTAAGTATTTGACCTGATTGAAAGTAAATAGATTTCTATATTGGAAACTAGTCTTATGTCTTCTCTAATGGAAAAATCGCAAGCTAGAATTAAACCAGCAGGATTCAAGAGGCAACAGGAACTACAGATGTGAGAGCTAATTATAACATGACACTGCATCCAGGAAATGAACGGTCACATACCAGCACACCAACAAGCAACTTAATAATCAAAAATATAAAGTCCGAACAGTGGTGGTATACAACTGCGATTCATTACTTCCGAGACTCCGGCAGCATTGTGAGTTTGAGGCCAGCCCAGGCAACATAGGAAGAATGTGTCTCAAAGTAAATAGACAAATAATTAATACTTAAAACATATACACTTGGATCCACCAATTCCACTTCTAGAAATACAACTTACAAACAGAAAAGTGAATAGACTAAAGAGCTATTCAGAAAATGGGGAGAAGAAAATGGCCTATTACATGCAAAAGAGAAGCCTAGAAAAAAAATCCATATCTTTCACATTACTGACTTTACCAAAAAAAAGTAAAATAAAATTTCACAGCCAGATACCAAATCTACTGAAAATTCTTATGTTAACAAAAAAAAAAAAAAAAAAAAAAAAAAAAAAAAAAAAAAAAAAGCGCGCAAAACTCATTTTGGTTTCTCTGTGGCTTTGGAGGCTGTCCTGGAACTAGCTCTTGTAGACCAAGCTGGTCTCGAACTCACAGAGAGTTGCCTGCCTCTGCCTCCTGAGTGCTGAGATTAAAGGTGTGTGCCATCACCAACTGGCAATTTTGTTTAAATATAAAAGATTAATATTTTGAAGGCTCAAGTCAGGGCTCAGCAGTTAAGAATTTGTATTTCTTTTACAGTTTAGATCCCCAAATCCACACAACAAACAGGGTAGCTAAAAGCCCCCTGTAACTAAAACTTCTGGGGCAGATCTGACACTCTCTTCTGGCCTCCACAGCCAAGTGCACTTACATGGTCAAATCCACTAATAAACATATATACACATAATAAAACTAATAAATGATCTTAAAGATGAGCTGAAGGTGTAGCTTAGATGGTACAGTGCTTGCCTAACATGTATCAAGCCTTAAAGTATCTCCAGCATCACACAAGCCAGATGTACAAAACACCTGCAATTCCTGTGCTTGGGGGGTTGGAGTGGGTAAAGGCAGGTGCATCCCAAACTTAAAATCATTTTCAGCTACTTAGAGAGTATGAGGCCATTCTGGGTTACATGAGATCCCATCTCTAAAACATAGGTATGCATATATATCTTAATGCTCATTTACCATCTGTAGAAAAAACCCAAATTTCATGCAAATGAAATACATACCTGTGCTTTGATGATTTGCTAAATATATTACATTTTCTTTATTTTTTGGCAAATCTCCATATAGCAATATCTAAAAGAGAAGACAAAAAGAAATCATTACTTTGATAATTTAAAACATGTGCATGAAATTTAAAAAAAAATGTGAAAGAAAATTGACAAGCACACAATATAACTGGCTCTATCCGTGACTAACAAACAGAGTTCTCTTGAGAGCTCCACATGCCATAAATAGTTCATGCTTATAAAGTACTTAGATATAGGACAGGCTAATGATCATAAAGTAAGACAGAATGATTGATATACCCCTAAGAAAATTCACAAAACTTACTGACTGCTAATATATAAAACTTCACAGCACACTGGAAGGAACAGACATATATATAATAACTATAATAAAACATAACTCAAATATTATGAAAACACTGTATTTTAAGAATTTGTAAAATGCTAGTATATTTGTTGGGTATGATTTTAGCAAATGAGATGAGAAGTTTTCTGAGCATAAGATCAAATGAAAGCCATGTGTTGGAGTCCTCTGTTAGTATACCAATGTGTGGAACAAAACTAAGGAGCTAGAAGACTAGAACAGGGAGGCCAGAACATCAAGTCAAGGTCTCCAGCAGCCCTGATTGGTCTCCACCTCCTGAGTGCTGGGACTACAGCATGTGCAACTATACCCACCTGGCTACATCTTATTTTTTAAACCAAGTATTGAGGACAGGTTTTCACTGTGCTAGTTCTGTTTTGTGCTCCTTAAACATTCAATGATAAAGAAAGGAACTGCAAGGGAACGAAGGACTGTTAATGCTCATTTGTTTTCTTTCTTTGGGGCATCTTTATTTGGTTACTTATATTTTATCATCAAGGATTATGCAAAGTTAGCTAAGGCTTTAGGGTCTGAAGAAACTATCTTCTTGGTTGTGAAACTAATCACTAATATCTTAACAGCAACAAAAAAAGAAAAAGTCACTAATAAACACTTTGTGAAAACAATATAGCTACACAATATAAAGTTAGGATGTCAAGGACTTAGATTAAGGTTTCCGCTTTCTTAGAAAACTGCACAGTGAGTATGTTCATATGTATTCAATTATTTCTAATGAAGCTTACAAACAGCATAAATAAATAAATAAAACAAGTAAATAAATAACGAATGGTTAGTTGATCTGTGTAGGGTTAATACAGAGGTGCCAGCTCATGACCAATCACCCTTCTTTTAGCAATAAACTAAGATTTTTGAGGACTATTGGGTACATGCTGGATTTAGAAGAACTACAGATACATGGCAGTGATTTGGGTGTAGATAGATAGATAGATAGATAGATAGATAGATAGATGTTAGATATATATATATTGGGTAAGATGTGTTTTTACATTTATAAATATGAAAGGAAAGAAGGTATTTTAAAGACACACACACATATATAAAATATACATACATACATACATACATACATACATACATACATACATACATACATGGGGAGAAACATGTGCATGCAAGTGCAAGTACTACTGAGAGTCCAGAAAAGGCATCCATGTGGCTTCTGGAGATTGAACCTTGGTCCCTCTGGAAAAACAACCAGTGTTTTTTATCCCTGAGCCATTTCTCCAGCCCCAGTTACTACTATTTTATTAATAAATACAAGCTCATACTTATAATCTCAGCACTTGGTAGGCTGCATCAAAAGGATTATATGAATCTGAGGCCACCCCTAGGCTTACACAATGAATTCCAGAGTAGTCTAGCCTATAGAGTAAGACTGGACAAAAAAAAAAAAAAAAAAAAAAAAAAAATTTTTAAAGGGTTAAAAAATTAAAAACTTACGCACTATCTACATATAAAAACTGTAGATCACCATGATTGCCTATGAGCCTCACTTGCTATGATCCTCTCTGGGGCCGCTCTAAGAGTTACTCCCTCCTCACTGATGCCTTTCCACCTTCAGCCCAACCACAGACTTCATTCATCACAGCTGCTTTGCACCACAGCGTGTCCCATTCACAGTCCTAGGAGAGCACCGAGGACACTTTGTACAAACAAGACTAACAAGTCTCAATTCCCTGTGGCCTGTTTTCTAGTCTAGACTTGAGCACATACATAGTTTCCAACAGACAGATGTTCATGGAATCATTAAGTTTACACTTTTGTGTTGCACCACTAAAACTGTCTCCTTTTAAACATAAAAGAAATTTTAGAATAAGCATAAATAAAACATGCTAAATATACTGGAGACTTTTATAAGACATCATTCTGTGAACCTTCTAATTCTCATTTACTTTGGTAACTAATCATTTTGAAAACATGTTTTTAAATTTCATATGATATGTAAGTAACTTTAGGTTCATCCACTTTTTTTCAAAACTCATCTAAGGCCAATGAGATGATTCTGTATAAAGACAACTGTCACCAAGCCTGATGACCTGAGTTTGATCCCTAGGGCACACATGGTCCTAGTCCATGGGCCCAGGATGGTATTTCAAGGTCCTGTTTCATCAAAAAGTCTGCCAGATATTTTGGGCCTATAGGCTGAAGACAGATGCCCCAATATTGCGGAGGAACCTTGGGTGACTGTCAAATCAACTAGATGTCTCTGCGAATTCTAGAGTTTATATTAAGTCCTTCTAGGGTCTTTGATGAAATTGAAGACAGTTATGGCTATGGTTTTCCTTAGTTATGATAAGTTACACATAAAACTTCAGACTCACAAAGATAGGATAGATGATAGAATATTTTCTTTAAATTTTGCCATATGTTAGTGGAGTAAATATTGTTAACTATAGTTCTTGCTTGACAACTCTTTTGTTATATATGATTTTACTATGTTAAAGTTAAAACCTTTCTTTTTATTTAGACAGAAAAGAGATGATGGGGGATGTCCTTTTGTATGCTGTGAATATGTTTCTCTTACTGGTTGATGAATAAAGCTGTTTTGGCCAATGGACAGGTAGGGTTTAGCCAGGTGGGAAATCCAAACAAGGATAGAGAAAGGTAGTAGGTGGAGTCAAGAGACAGCCATGTAGCTCCCGGGAAGGTAGGAAGCCCAGGCATTCTCTGGTAAGCCAAGGCCATGTGGAGATACACAGATTAATAGAATGGGTTAGTAATTAAGAGAGTTAGCCACATAGAACCCCGAGCCATTGGATAAACAGTTTATAATTAATATAAGCCTCTGTGTGTTTATTTGGGACTAAATGGCTGTAACTTCTGCTTACACCACAGTCTTTCAAACCAACAAATAAATGTTTCTCTGTTCCTTTGTAGTCCCAGAATTCTTTTGCATTATCTCACTTTGCCCATTTCATCATATTCTTGGGGGTTCTATAGTCCCAGTAAAGGTGAACCTTGCTAAATAAACATTTAAACATCTTAGCAAACCATTCTAGAGCCTCCATTCCTTAAAACTAAGATTTCTCACATGGCCACAGAACCTCTAGAGTGGGACTCCTTGAGAGGAGTTCTGCCCTTTTTGTTCAAAAGGAAGGTGACTCTACCTTTATTGACAGTCCCAAGAAACTACAATCTCAGAAATGAGACAATATATACATTGTGACATACTAATTTCCTGTCAAATAGTATGTTAATGATGTAAAAGGCAGGGTGTAATGATGCAGATGAGGACTAGCACAGGTTTGAGCTGCACCTTAAGTATATAGAGGAACAGTTCAAAAGTACACTCTAGAGATTATTTTTATAATGCAAGAAGTAGCAGTTAGGGTAGAGTGAAAACAGAGAATGGCACAGCAGGACAGGACAGGACTGAGATGGCCTTAAATGCCACATCTGAAGTCTTCACAGTAATTCTGGTATCACATTCCCTCTAGTATCAACTGAGAATCACTTTTCCTAGCTCAATCATGCAACTATGTTACTTTAAGTGAAGTGAACTTTCAAAGGAATTTGTCATCAGCAGTACAGCATACCCGAATAACCCAAGGAAGAAGTTACTCTGAAAAGTCCCTTTCCCTTTACTTGGAAGAGCTGGAAAACAACTACCCAGCAGTTATAAACATCAAGTATTTTCTATGATTGTTTCTCCACCCTTTTTATAGCAGTAATACCCAAGAACATTGAACTCATTTCAGTCACCACTTGTAAAAGCATCTTCAAACGAAGCCCTCAACTGGATTGTCATAAAGACTACACCTGTGAACTGCCTGGACTTGTTATCTACCTATGCAAAGCTAAGAATGGAGCCTACTGGGTAAGGAAGAATGATATCCATAAACAATACTGATATAAAGCAGCATTCAGTAAAGGCTTTGCTACCAATCACAAAGTCATTTGTGATTTTTTTTAAAGATTTTATTTTTAATTTATTGTGTGTACAGGTGTATTGCTACGTGCACATAAGTCCAGGTGCTCGAGAAGGCCTGAGGCATTGGATCCCTGTGGAACTGGAATCACAGATGGTTGTAAGCCACCTGACATAGAGCCCAACTCAGGTCCTCTCTGGCTATCTCTCTAGCCCCATATTGGCTATTTCTGAAATAGACCTGGGAGGATTCTTGTCATTCTCACCACATGTACTCCTTCACTATCCTGATCAGCATCTCTACCTGGATTGCTCAATAGCTTCCAAACTAATCCTTTTTGAGAGCACACACACACAAAAATGGCACTTGCTCAGAGAAGCTTTCTAAACCCCTACCTTCTACCCATTAGAATAAACAAGGCCATATAACACAGTAATGAAAGTCATCTCGTTACTGCTTGTTTGCCCACTAGAGAATGAGCTCCACACAGTTCTTCACCCAGCACAGCATATGAAACAAAGTGCACATGGGAATGTTGATATAGAAATACACAGATGAAATCCTAAGTTCTGAGAACTCTTTTGGAAATATTACTTAGTGCTCAATTCTTTAGCTATTAGTATCAACCACTGTCTAAGAAACTCTAAGATGAGAATACAGAAAGAATTAACCTCTAATTCCATTAAGAAGTGTCAACTCCTCAAAATTGGATCAATTTACAAAAAAGCAGCCAGGCTTTCCTCATGAGTACACAGTCATATGCAATGCCAAGATAAAACTCCTCTAGATATTGCTGTCACGGAGGCATCTCCCCCAACTCCAGTGTTTATTTATGTTTAT